CGCAGAAAGGAGGGGGGAGAGCGGGTCGCCCTGCCGGATGCCCCTGGTGATATTGGAGCCCCCGTGCCTCGCGCCGCGCGCACAGGACGCTGATAGAATCGATCAGCCACGAGGGCCACCCGAGCGTCGCGAACATCGCGCCCATGAAGCGGTGCGCGATGGAGGGGAAGGCCGCCGCGAAGTCGAGGAGCATGCCCGCGACGCCCTCGGACTCGCAGGCGGTCAAAGCCATTGCATCCTCTACGTCCGCCAAGTTGATTGGGAGGGAGCGGCCGCCGATGATGCCACGTTGGAACTGGGGCACTCTGGGGCCAATGTGTTGTTCGATTGCCATCAGGGCGGCGTTCGAAAACCAGCGGTTGTCCGTGTTCGCGACATTTAGTGGGAGGGCGTTCGCGGGCTCGCGCCCCCCCCCTGCGGGGCAGGTGCCCGACGGCATCTAGGGGGGAAGTCTAAGAAACTGAAACTGAAGTCCTCGCAGTGCACCTCTGTGAGGTCAACGCCCTGGTCGCCGCGCGATGGTCGAGCTGCCTCGTAGAGCACGTCCGTGGATACTGCCAGCGCGCAGGACCATGCTCGGAAAGAGGGCCCCGTCGGGGCCCGGGGCGGTGTTCTTCGAGGTCAGGATGGCGCAGCGGACGTGCTTTCTCTCGAGCCAGATCTCCTCGGGGAAGAAAGGTTGCGACGCGCATTCCGGCGTGCTTTTTTTTCGCGTCGTCGCCCAGCCAGTTGGCCAACGGCTATTCGTCGACTCCGCGGGCCCTGAACATATTCGACCAATGTGCGCGGAGGGCGGCGGCCATCCTGTCTGGGCTGACCTGAACCCCCCCCCGCGAGTCCAAGACGGCGCCGACGCTGCGCGCGCGGCCCGGGGTGATCCTGCAGATGAGCCTCGCGCTCCGCTGTCTGACTTGCAACGCGCGCCGGGTGTTCCCAGGGGTCCAATCTCTGCGAGGCTTGCCCACCTCATCGAAGACATGGTCCCCGGAAAACTGAATCGCGGGGTCCCTGGCTGCGCGAAGATGGCGGGAATTGTTTTGGTCGAGAGCGCAAGGATTGGCCGCGATATCCTCGAGGAGCGGCTACCGGAGCAACCGCTTCGAGATGCTGCTCGCGAAGCCGCGCTCCACAGCGCGGATGAACTTGATGGTGGCCCCGATCCTGTCCGCGAGGCTGGGCGCGGGCGCCGGCGCCTGGAACTCCTTCTCGACGTTGGCGGCAACCGTTTTCATGCAGCGCGCGGAGAGCTGCAGCTTGCCGAGGGCATTCATTGGGCTTCAGGAGGTGCTTCGCCGACTCGCGGCATTCCAATGCCAAGCGGCGCGGAAAAGCATGGTGCGAAATGGCCCGCATGGACAAACCCCCCCCGTCGCCTGGTAGCTTCTGCGGAGCGCGCCGGGAGAATGACGCAGCGCGGCGATGCGAAAGGTCAGGCTGCCACTCGAGCGCCGAGGATCGGAGATGACGATCCAGCTGTTCCGAGGTGTTGAATGCAGTAGATGCGGCCCAGGCGAACCTGCGAGTTGCCGGAAGCGCGCGCGTAGTCGCCCTTGCACATGTCCATCATAACTTCGCCCCCAAAGTCTCTTGAAAATGTTTCTCTTCGCCTCGTCTCTGCGGCCAATGGCCTGCGCCGACGTCACTGAGGTCCGGTCGCTCGTGGAGGCCGCGGAACAGAAGTCCCCGCCGAACAAAGTGAGCGCGTCGTCCTGCTTCGAAGGTTTGTTGGAGATGCGGGGGCGCAGGATCGAGGCGGCGAAGCTGAGGGAAGGAAGTGATAGACGGCATCAGATGCTCTGGGACCCCATCATTCACATCGTCCTTGGACAGCGTGTTCGACGAGCCCGTGTGGAAGTATCCAACCACCACGTCCAGGGCACTTGAAGGCCCCGCAGGCGAACAAAGGCCGCGCGGCCACGCAAGATGTGGACGAACACGGGGTTCGGCTCGAACTGCTGGAGGAGCGTCCTCGATGATGAGGCCGACTCCCGCGTGTCCTGGCGTCGGTCCCTGCGACAACCATGCCGTGGTGTTCGGCGGACTGTGCCACGTGGAGTTGGAGATCTCCTGGCCGTGAGCCTCTGTGATCATGACAATGTCCACAATTTGCATTAATTTGTGCACGCGTGCGTTCTTGGCAGCGTGCCGGGAGGGGTCCGTGGCGAAGAGGGCATGCGCGTTCCACGTAATCGCCGAAACTTTGCCCGTGAATTGACCCGTGCGGCGGCCGGCCGATGGGGATTGCACCTCCGGCGGTGCGCGGAGCAGCGGCGGGAGGATGGTGTCGGGGCTGGTGGCGCCGAGTGCCCGGAGGAACCGTTGGCGTCGAATGATACAGGCGGGTACGTCCCTAGCGCAAGTCACCGGTGGAAACACAGGCAATAAACGGTCGTTGAAATTCACGGCCCTGCGGGAGGGGGAGCGAGAACGAGAGGTAGAAGATGTCGGAGAACGGCTCGAGGGTGGTACTGGTGAGTGGTCCAAACGCAAGAAGCTCGACGAAGCCAAAACATCGCGGAAGCGGAAAACAACCCATACGGCATAGCCCGATAAGCCCATGCAATGAATGAAACGAATTCCACAATCGCAGCCTGGCTGCGACGGATGTCATGGCTGATCCTAGGCGCGGCGAACACCTTGCTCCGCGCCCTCGTCCCATTTCCCAGCCCGCGCGTGGTTTACATGAGGTCGTTCTCGACTTCGATGCCGACGGGGTCCCTGCCAACCTGGATGGCTTGGCCGTGGAGTGCCGCATAGAGCTTGCGAAGGTCCTAATGGTTCTTGGCGAGCACCTTGATTACGCCAGCGGGCGCGTGCGCCTCCTGTAAGGCCAAGTGGTAGTACTCCCCTGGCCAAGGGGGCGCGTCGGGGTTGGAGGCCTCGGTGAACTGGACGCCCGTAGCCTGGCAGGCGTGGTCCATCAGGAGCTTCAGCACGACAGCGTCGTCCTTGCCCAGCTCGCCCTTCACGACGATCTCGGCGATCTGCGCAAAGATCCTGTTCGCCTTGTTACCGAGGCGCCGCTCCGGGTTGAGCATTGCTGCAGTCGCTGACGGGGTAGCCTCCACCTGGCCGCCATTGCGAGAGGGTTTCCATTTGAGTCTGAGGGCCGCAATGTGCTTGTCGTGTAGGTACAACTCGTCCATGACTTCCGACCACATGTCGTCCGAAGCCGCCGTGACGACCAGGTAACGCTTGGAGTCGAGAGCGAGCATCTGCGAGCAGAGCGACCAGAAGTGAAGCGAAGCGCTGAGCGGGGGCCGTTGCACTCCAAGATCATCGCGTCCGCGGCGCTCATGAGGGACTTGCTGCCGTAAAAGATGCCGTTATGAGGGGCCGTCGGCGGAGCCACTGCAAGAGCACAGTCTGGACCGAGGTGGTGGCCGAGACTGGGAAGATCACAACGATGACGATTCTCGGTGTCACTGTAGAGCTGATGGGGCTCCGGCGGTGATGACGACAGCACGCTCCGCGCATGCCGTCCGAGCGAGCAAGCGCGAGGAACTGCGGGAGGTGGTCGACGTGCACGTCGAAAATGAAGGCGTCGTAGGGCAGGCGGCCTTCTGTTTCACATGGGCAGCGTCCGCGGCGACACGGACAACGAGTCCTGTCGAACCAAGTGCTGCTGTCGGTCTTCGTCAGAGTGAGGGGGCCTAACGGTCGTTCACAGTCCCTGGGTGCGTGGCTGAAATGGGATTCCGCGATGCGGATTCGTGTTGTTGTTGGTGGTGTTGTTGCAACTGCTGGTGTTGTTGTTGTTGTTGTTGTTGCTGTTGTTGTTGTTGTTGTTGTTGTTATTGTTATGATTGTTGTGGTTGTTGCTGTTGCTGTTGTTGTTGTTGCTGTTGCTGTTGTTGTTATTGTTGTTGTTGTTGTTGATGTTGTTGTTGTTGTTGTTGTTGTTGTTGTTGCTTGTTTTGTTTGGTTGGTCGGTCGGCCTGTTGTTTGTTTGTTTGTTTGTTTGTTTGTTGTTGTTGTTTGGCGTCGTCCCCCCCGCGACCCGCCCAACGACCCACCCGCGACCCCACCCGCGACCCACTCGCGACCCACCCCGCGACCCAGCCGCGACCCAACTGCGACCCACCCCGCGACCCACCCGCGACCCACCTGCGACTCACCCGCGACGACCTGACCCGCGACCTGACCCGCGACCCACCCGCGACCCACTCACTTTGCTTTAACAAAAGAATCGGCGCCTGCGCCGGGCTCGTCGAAGAATTTGTTCAAATGATGCGCCTGCGGCGGGCTTCTTCAGAGCCTCGCAGACTGCCGACGTCCCCGCCGCCCCCTCGATCTTATCCGCACCTGCGGGGTGCTACGTACCCATGATTTTCGTACCCATCCGCCCCTGAGCCAATGCTTTTTGTTGATCCGGGACGCTTCTCGGCGGCGCAGTAGTGGCCTGGGAGCGGCGCCCCCGCGGTGGCACGGCAGCGGTAACGCACCCCCTCCGCCCCAGCTCTCTCGCACAGGATGTCGGAGGTATGGGTTGGAGGAGTGAGGGGTGAGGAGGAGAGTCGGAGGAGGAGGAGGAGGAGGACGAGGATGGGGAGCAGGAGGAGGGGTGAGTAGTCAGGAGTGAGGTGGGGAAGGAGGGGGAAGAAGAGGAAGAGGAGTCGGCGGAGGACCCAGAAATCCGACTTTGTGACTTCTCGAGCTCGGCCCATCTTGGAGAAGACCACCTGTCTGGCCCAGGCCACGAGATGCGGGGCGCGGTCATCCTCGCGCTGCGCGCGACCTGGGGAATCGAAAGGGCGAGAGGAAGGGCCCCCAGCTCGCCCCCTGGGGTGGGGTTATGGAGGATGGAGGCCTCTGTATTTTGTTCGTCCTACTTCGCCGGCGGGAAGCTTCTCGTCACACACGGCTGGTCCGCCAGGATCACCCACCCCTCGGCAGAAACCCACGGCGTGGATCGGGGGCCTGGGCAGAGGTGTTCTGGGCCCATTCTCCGCTCCGACCCCTCGGAGGAGCAGCAACAGCATTTTCTCCACTCGTCGGGCCTTCTCTTGCGTGACCTCGAACACATGGCCAGGCAGGATCTTGGCATTCCCGTTTCTCGGCCCGTCGATCAGAGGTTCTTTCCTTGCCCACGTGTGCAGGTCGTTCACTGGCGCGTACACCCACAAGCTCCCCATCGGCTTTGACGACTGGGTGCCTGGGCAGCAAGGCTGTAAATTGAAGCGGCGCCAACCCGTCATGCTCATTCCAACATGAACAAACTTCCATTGCTAATACTCATGTATGGACGCACGGGAACATGGGAACAACTCATGAGCGAAGATCCGATCCAAATTTCCGCCCTACACTCGAGCTTCTGGCATGTAAGCCACCGATCGGTCCCAATATGCCGTCAAGAGGCCCCCAGACACACCCGAGACTTTCTGCAGGAAGGTCTCGGCAAGCACGCAAACACGTTGTTTGCCCGTGGGCTGTTCAATGGTTTCGCTATATTCGCCTTCTGCTCGAAATTCGCTCCGCCTATAACATCCGAAACCCCAAAGGGGCCAACTGTGAGCCCCAGGAGGGCACCCCCAAACCCCTGAACGGCTGCAAAGGAACCCATGCTGGCCCGACAAACCCTCAGAAAACCAAACAAACAAACAACAACGAGAAGGTCCCAGGACGGCTTCAAAAACAAAACCAGAAACGGCCCGCAAATCCCAGAAACGGCCCCCTGAATGGGTCCCACGACGATCGACGAGGGCCCCTAATGTTATGTGCCATTATATATATATATATATATATATATATATATTCTCATACGCACCTCTCCGAGGGAGTAGAGCTCAGAGGCGATTAATGCGTCCGTCGTTCGCGATTTTTCTGGCCGTTTCGCTCGGGACATCCTCGAAATTCTGAAAATCGGTGGCACCCCTCACGCAGATCGTGACGTCAGGGTCCAAAAACACATAGGATTTCCAACATGTTATCATAAAACCTTCAAAAACACATGGTAATTTCAATGATTTTGACTCCGATTCTCAGAGAATGGCGGTTTCGCCTGAGACATCCTCCCAAAATCGAGCCCCAGACCCCTCCTCGGAGCCTCCTGGGGGCCTCCTGGAACCTCCTGGGGCCTCCTGGGGCTTTCTGGACCTTCTGGTACCCCAGACCCCGCCTCGGAGCCTCCTGGAGTTCTCCTGGGCCTGCTGAGGCCGCCTGGGGCCTCCTGGGGCCTCCTGGGGCTTCAGAACTACATGCACACACAGAGACACAAATCACGCCCAACACATCACACGCTAGACAAACATAACATACACACACACAACACCGACAACACACAAAAAGCACGCACCACACAAAGCACACATCACACACACACACAACACTCACAATCCTGGGGCCTCCTGGAGCCTCTTCTGGTATCCAAGTCGGGCCTCCTGAGGCTTCCTGGGGGGCCCTGGTACACACATCGCAAGGTGTGGCAACCCCACTTGCGCTCGAGTGCGACTTCGCTGTTGCATGTCACTCCTGCTTCAAACGCCCCTTCAGCTTGTTGTATGAGCCTGGGCACACACGTGCCACTTGTATATATATATATATATATATATATATATATATATATATATATATACGCACCCGCAATTGCGGATAAGAGTGAGGGGGGGCGCGGGCGACGCGGGCGTCGTCGAGCCGGCGGACCTCGTGGCCCCCACCTTCCCTGTCGATGGCGCTCCTCCTCCTCCTCCTCCTCCTCCTCTCTCCTCGTCCTCGTCCTCATCGTCATCGTCATCCTCCTCCTCCACCTCGTCCTCCTCCTCCTCTTCTTCCTCGTCCTCCCTCTCCCCCCCTCGTCCTTTCATCATCGTCCTCCCATTGTCGTCCTCCCCTTCATCGGCCTCCATCATCGTCCTCCCATTGACGTCATCATCATCATCATCATCATCATCATCATCCTCATCATCATCATCATCAGCATCATCATCATCATCACCATCAACATCACCATCACCATCACCATCACCATCATCATCATCATCATCAGCATCAGCATCATCATCATCATCATCATCATCATCATCATCTTCATCTTCCCCCTCCTCCCCCTCCTCGTTTTCCTCCTCCCCCTCCTCCCCCTCCTCGTCTTCCTCCTCCCCCTCCTCCCCCTCCTCGTCCTCCTGCTCCTCCTCCTTTTCTTTCTCCACATTATCCTTACATCCTCTCTTCTTCCGCGTTCTCCTCGTCCCCTGTTTACTCCTCCTGCCTCCCCCTCCTTTCCCAAGATAGCTGCAACGCAATCCTTTTTTCCACTTTATGATCCCCGCCTTCTGTGATTAAGGCAACTCGCCAGGGCAGAGTTGCTGGGCGGGCTGGTGTGGATGCGCGGGGCTTGAAGAGGTCCTTGCGGGCTCAGGCGGCATGCAAAAATCCGCCGCCGCGCTTGTGCGGCATTGGTTTGTTCAGTGAACGTGGTTTAGGTCGCGGGCTCTCCACCTCCACCTGGAAGGAATGCAAAAGCAGCCCGCCGCAGGCGCCAAAAAAAATGGTTTGTACACTGAACGTGGTTTGGGTCGCGGGTGGGCCGCGGGTTCTCCACCGGGAACGAATGCAAAACATGCCCGCCGCAGGCGCCGAAAAATGTGGTTTGTACCCTGAACGTGGTCGCGGGTGGGCCGCGGGCTCTCCACCTGAAACGAATGCAAAAGATGCCCGCCGCAGGCGCCGAAAAATGTGGTTTGTACCCTGAACGTGGTTTGGGTCGCGGGTTGGTCGCGAGTTGGTCACGGGGTGGGTCGCGGGCTCTCAACCTGGAAGGAATGCAAAAAAAAACCCGCCGCAGGCGCCGAAAATTGTGGTTTGTACCTTGAACGTGGTTTGGGTCGCGGGTGGGTCGCGGGTGGGTCGCGGGGTAGGTCGCGGGTGGGTCGCGGGTGGGTCGTGGGTCGCGGGGTGGGTCGCGGGGTGGGTCGCGGGGTGGGTCGCGGGGTGGGTCGCGGGGTGGGTCGCGGGGTGGGTCGCGGGTGGGTCGCGGGGTGGGTCGCGGGTGGGTCGCGGGGTGGGTCGCGGGTGGGTCGCGGGGTGGGTCGCGGGTGGGTCGCGGAGTCGCTCTTGGGTGGGGCGACGACAACAACAAGACGAAGCAGAATCCGCGCCACGGATCCTCACTCCAGCCACGCACCCAGGGACAGTGAATGACCGTTCGGGCCCGTTCACTCTGATATATATATATATATATATAGCCCGCCCTGATTAGACGAGTGCCAGATCTATTAGATGACAAACGCAGCCCCGACCGGCGCCGACGGTGACGACGACGGGCAGGAGCGCTTCTTTTCATCATATGTGTGAAGCACGAGCCAGGCACGGCAGATATCTGCCGGACGAGAGGTACTAGCATTGACCACCTATAGTACGGACGGCGAGGCACATACAGATGAGGTCCCGAGAAGAAAAAGAGAGACTGCATTATAATGGATTCAAGTGAGGGCGGCATGCGGGTGGGTGCACTTGAGCACATATGTCAGCGGAAAACCGAAGGATTTGAACTGACATATCGAACGTGCGGCACTCTCACACAGGGCTCTGCATCACGTTGTTAAAACTGTCCAGCCCGCCCTGATTAGACGAGTGCCAGATCTATTAGATGACAAACGCAGCCCCGACCGGCGCCGACGGTGACGACGACGGGCAGGAGCGCTTCTTTTCATCATATGTGTGAAGCACGAGCCAGGCACGGCAGATATCTGCCGGACGAGAGGTACTAGCATTGACCACCTATAGTACGGACGGCGAGGCACATACAGATGAGGTCCCATATCCCATAAGGAAGACCTGGCCTGTAGCATTAGCAGTAAAGGCCGAAAAAATATGAAGGTAGCTAGATGTGATAAGCGGGTGGCTTACATATTAAATCGGCCATGGTTTGCCGTGGCTTCTTCAGAACAGCTTCTCTGACGATCTTAGCCAACACCGCGCACAGACTGGCGGGATAGGCGGCGGCCAACGCAGTATATTTACAGCCCTCTGGGGCCTGGCCCGTGAGAATGGTATGCCGATTTCCAGTGCGAGAGCAGAGACCCCGGCGGCCCTTACAGAGCCGATGCAGGTCGGTAAGAGGGCCCGTCCTCCAGGCCGCGATCCTGGTCCTTTTCTGCCAGGGTGTTCCGAATTGGCACTGATCAAAATCACACACACGAGCACACTGGGAAATGATGAGGGACGAAAGAAGCTTTGCCTGCCACATTAAAGAACTGGCAGGGTTCTCGAGCAGCACAGGTATGTTCAACTTACAGCATAAGCGAATGATGCGGCATGTGAAGTAAAACGAGGCGTTGCCCGTAGTCAGGCGGGCGATCTCAGATGTCGAAAGGCCGCTGATGCCCATCGGATGGGCGCGCGACCTCAGAGCTTTCCGGAGCGCTCGAGACCACGTCGTACAGGGCGTACCGAGGAAGACGGCTGCCACGGCGCGGCCGCGGAGCCAGCCGGTCACCACCCGCTCGAAGTCGCGGCGGCAGTGGTCCTCCAGCGGCGACAGCCGAAGGTCCAGGCCGAGCGCCGACAGGCCCAGGCGGCGGGCGGCGGCGGAGAAGTGGCCACTGCCGCAGAACAGCTCCAGCACCACCCGACGTCGGCACAGCGAGCCGCGGCTGACCGCAGCCTTGAAGCGGCGCCGCAGGTGGTCGGCGCACTCGGAGCCGCCCGGCCGCGGCCGAAGACGCTCCGAGCCGGCGGCAGCGCTGGCGCCGACAGGGCCGGCAGCGCTCAGCTGCGGCTGGCAGGCCGCCGCCTCACACGCCTGGGCTGCGATGGCCCGCCCATGAGCGCTTCCAGCAGGCTGGCCGGAATGCGCCGCTGCAGCCCCGCGCCTGCGAAGCCCTTCTCGATCAGCAGCGCGAAGCTCTGCGCGACCAGGTCGCCGAATACGTACACGTCCGAATGCACGCCCTGCAGCTCGCGCAAGAGGGCCGTCTCCTTCGCATACCTCCGCATCGAGGATGGCACAGCCCAGCGGCCTCGCCGGTAAACCTGCTCCTGCGACCTCCGCTGGGACAGGAGGTCGTCGCTCACTCCTCCGTGCCTCATCCCGTACAGGTGGGGACGCAGATGGGAGAGCCCCAGCGCCGCCGCCGCCAGCATGAACATCCTGTTCAGGTCCCCGAGGGAGAAGCTCCACAGCGGCGTGCCCGGGCCCCCCCGACAGCGGAGCGCCATGAGCAACGGCACCAAGTACAGGTCGAGGTCGAAGAGGATCGACTCGTCGAAGGCGCCCGTCTTGCCCGCCTGCCCGCGGTCTGCGGGGTGGAGGAGCAGGCCCCAGAACTGATAAGCTGGGCCCGCTGACGCCGAGGGCTCCACAATGCTGTCCGTGGTCAGCCGCTGAGCCTCGGCAGGCCTGAGGTATGCCGAGAACGCAATCGCCAGCCACGCCGCCATGGGCGCCTGCTGCCAGGCGATCAGGACGCCCGCCAGCGCGAACATGACCGCCCTCGGGATGGGCAGCCGCGTGAGAGTCGGGGCCCGCCTCCGCCACGCCTGCATCGCGCGTGAGGCGCGGGGCAAGAGCGAGCCCACCCGCCTGGGGAGACCCGGCGTGAAGTGCGCCAGCGCCGCCACCGTCTGCGATCCGACGCTCGCCGCCGCCCCCGAGATGTAGCGAGAGGTGAAGTACTCGGCGAGCAGGCGGTCCAGCTCGCGCAGGTTGCTCCAGTCCCGGCGGTGGTCGCAGCAGTACGTGATGAACGTCTGCAGGAGCTGGCGGTACATGGCCTCCGTGTTCGGCCTCACGGCCAGCTGCTCCAAGAGCGTCAGGGCGCCCACCAGCGGCCTCCCGCGCGCCGCCGCCGCCGCCAGCTGGGCGCGCTGGCGAGTCCGGGCTGAAGGCGTAGGGGCCCTCTGCCTCGGCATGGCCTGCGCCTCGCGCGCCAGGAGCCCGAACAGAAGGCCGAGCGCCGCGACGACCAGGGCGGGTCCTCGCATGGCCAAGGTGTCGATGGCCGGTGAACCAGCCGAGCTTGCCTCTACTGAGGCCGTCAGCTGGGTTACGCTCCGAGGCAATCCAGCGAACGAACAACTTCGAGCCAGTGGCCAAGGACAACGCACACAGCTGGTTCAGGCACGACCTCAAGTGTTTTGACCGAGCCCTTCCTTTTGCGCAGGCGAGGGCTAAGGGGAGGTTGTCCACGAGAGCGACCATGCGAGCCCCATGAGCGCCCAGACCTCGGAGGAGATGGCGATAAGACGTGACCAGAGCCTCCCCCTCCAGGTACAATATGTTGGCCCCCGTGGAGACCGACTGCGCCGAGACTGACTTCCAGGCATCCATGCGGGTAAGGTGCCCAGGAACCTCCTCCATGTCCCAAGAGTCGCCCTCGACGTAGGAGGCATCAGCACGCGTGAGGCTGTTGCCTACCATGAGCTCCACGTGGGGGTCCCCGTGCTGGCCCTTGGAGATGAAGGGGTCCTCGTGCAGGCCCACGTGCTCCTTGTAGGGGTCCCCGTGCTGGCCCATGAGCTCCTCGTAAGGGTCCCCCTGCAGGCCCGGAGAGGTACACGTAGTTCCCGAGACAAACGATGGCGCCGGACATGCTTGACCGCCCGCAGGGCTAACATGATGAACACCGAGCTGTGAAGGGTCGATTGGAGAATGAGGCCGAGAGGGTTCGACGTTTTCTGACTCAACGCTGGGGCGCTCCAAGCCGCCCTCTTGCAGTGATCGGAGCCGGGCCTGGTGCCCGCCCTCGACCTTGAATCGCCACTTCTCCGAGCAGCGGCCGACGGCGGCGCAGACGGCGCGAGGCGCGCGTCTCCGCATCACCCCAAGTCCGAAGGGCGATGCGTCGCTAGCCGTCAGCGTGGGGTGCCACGCGGACGCGAGGTCGCCGGACAAGACGGGCAGGAGGTCACGGATGATGGTTAACTCCTTCGCCGCCGTCGCCCAGATCCTGCCCTGCCTCTCGCCGTATGCCGCCACGAAGCCGTAAGCGCTATGGAGCACAGTGAGGACCTCTCGGCGAATCATGGACGACCATGTCACATGGCCCAGCACTGCTCGCATCATGTTGCCGCTGCACCAGCCACGCTTCAGGAGCCCAGTGATTGCCGAGTGCAGCCGCCAGATGTTCCGCGGCTTGATCCCGAGGAACCTCCCGTGCCTCAAGCTGAGGCCCAAGAAGTCCAGGTCCTTTGCGGCGGGCTCGATCTCGTGGACAGGAAGCCCTCGGGCGCGGAAGGCGGCCACCAGCCGTGTCATAGCCTGGTCGACCGCGCCCTTCTCAGCACCGAACGCCAGGATGTTGTCGACGTAAGCCCCGACGCCGACGGAGACCGGGTCGGTGACTACAACACCAGCTTGACCGTCCATGGCTGTCATGGCCCTCTCATGGCCCTCCGCAGCAAGGACTGCGCGCGCAGCCGACTGGCAGAAGTGCAAAGCCCACGAGAAGCCCATCGGGAGGACGGTTACCATAGGCGTGACGCGCGAGAGAGGATCGAAGTCAAGGTCGATCAGGCCGAGCTCCTGCAACACGGCGACCGAGATCGACGGCAAGGTGAACAGCGTCTCCATCCCGCGCGGCAGCCGCATGTGGTAGAAGGCGCACTCCAGGTCGCACGTGGAGAGGTACATGCCGTCCGCCGGGGCTTCGATAGCGCCGAAAGACGCCGCTGAAGGAAGCCTCGTAGCCGGCGGATCCAAAAACTTGCAGTTGGCGGCCCTCGTGTCGAAAATTATCCTGAGGGCCCCCGTCTTCTTGGGCACAAAGAAGAGGCCGACGGTGTGTGGCTGACCGCTGTCGGCCGCGAAGGTGACCATCTGCCTCCGGTGCATCTCCATCAAAAACTGGCCGTAGGCGGTCGCGTCCCGGAACAGGTTCGGGTCGCAGTACGGCCCGCGTGGGCAGGCCGAATGTGCCAAGGCCTCGGCGGACTGCCGATCTCGAAGCATATGGCTCTGCCATCCCTCCAGCCAGGCCTTGTCATGGGGCTGCACAAGCCCGACGAGCTCGACGGGCGCAGCACCTTCAGCGGGCCATGCGACTCGGTCGCGGACGTAGGGGGACGACGAGGCGGCGCCCGAACCGTACAGGTTGGCGCAGGAGAGGAGCTCCCGGAGGGCCCCGTCTTGACCAGCACGCGTGTCACTGAACTCGGGCGGCGGCGCGCCCAGCTCCTTGACGCAGCTGTCGATATGCATGATGGCCTGGCGCTGCCCCTCGTGCGATGCAGATGGAGGCGAGGACCGAGAGCCATAAAGTGAATTGAGTGCATTGGTGGCCGCTCGAACGCGATCATCATGATGAGTGCGAAGGCCGCGCCGACGAGCAGCGCGACGACCGCCTGGCTCCACCCCGCGCGGAGCAGCGGCCGGTACGACCGGCAGCGGGAAGACGTCGCGCTGGCGTCGTGTCCCCGGCGGCCGGGGGCCTGCGGCGGGAGCCGCACAGCAGTCCCGAGGGGTGGCTGGCCCATCTGCCCCCCCTCGGCTCGTCTCAGGCATCGGCGCCTGGGGTATTGCCGCCCCCACGGCCCCGTCGCCCACGGCCTCGGCCGCCGCGGCCACGGCCTCCGCGCCCCTCGGCGCCGCCAGAGCCAGCAGCGCCAGTCCCGGCGGCCAAGGCACGCTCCTCGCGAGCCTTGCGCCGCTCCTTGGCGATCGCCGCCTCGCGCGACTTCTCGGCGGCCAGCCAGTCACGCAGCGCCGGGGCCATGCAGATGCCGCTGCCAGCGTCCTGGACGCCGGACAGCAGCGCAGCGTCGTTCCCGTGCTCAGACGTGGGCGCGAACCTATCGCGGTACAGCTCCTCCTGGGTCTGCAGCGTGCGGCCGACCAACTCCATAGAAGCTAGATTGGTCGCATGAGTCTGATCATACACGACTCCGAACTCCAACAGCCTGCAGCACAGCAAGTGCACGTCCACCCCTGGGTCCTCGTCGTCCAGGTAGGCCTCGGCCTTCCACTTGGTGTGGCGACCGAGGGGTGTGCCGCCGTTGCGGCAGATGTAGTTCAGCACCCACAACAACGTTCTGGGGCCTTTGAGCGGCCAGTCATGCCAAGGTAACTCGTGCATCCTCATCACGGCCGACCTGAAGTCGGCGTAGCGGACCCCTTGGGAGTCCAGGACGATGGCCTGCATCCGTGCGTCGCCGCCAGGGGCCGCCGCCACCGCGGCGAAAGCGTTCGCCAGGGCGCCTGCCCCTATGTCGGCCCATCCGGGCGCGACGGCCGCGGCAGCGGGCGCGGCGGCCGCGGGTGCGGGCACGCCCACGGGCCCAGCGGCCAACGGAGCGCCAGCCGCGAGAGCGGCGGCCACCGGCACAAGGCCGCCTCCCGGCCCGGGCCCAGCGGGCGCTGCGGCCGGCACGAGCGCGCCCGCCGCTGCTCCAGGGGCCGGCGCTCCGGCCGCAGCGGGCGCCCCCAGGGCCGCCGCGAGGCCCGCCACGCCACCAGCGGCAGGGCCGCCCGCGGCGGCAGGGGCGCCAGCAGCAGCAGGCGCGGGGGCCGGCGGCGCGATGACCCGGCCCACGGTGTTCAGGGCCACGGCCGGACCCGGGGCGAGCCCGAGAGTGCCCCGGGTGGCGGTGGCCGCGGCCGCGACGGCCGCCGGCAGAGGCAGGGCGCGGAACCGGTAGACCTGGTCCCCGCCCGTCGCCGCCGAGTTGCCTCCAGCGGCGCCTCCAGCTGGGATGCAGAACTCGGCCACGTCCGCGCCTCCATTCGCGATGATCTCGACGTAGCCGTGGCCGTCCGGGGTCAGGATCCCGCATCCGAACGGCGCGACGGGCTGGAAGGACAGGATGAGGCGCTCATGCCAGATCCTCGCCCCCCCGACCTGGTATCTGATCAAGATGAAGTCTCCCTCGTCCAGGCCGAGGAGGGCGAGGGGATGGCCCGCAGCCGCGGCGGCCGCCGCCGACATGGCCTCACTGGACCTGCAGCCGCCCGCGGACCAGAGCAGCCTGGGCCCGGGCCTCCTCCTCGAACTTGTCGATCGCCGCCAGAGCCCGCGCCGGAGCAGGAGGAGTGGACCAGCGGCCCAGCAGCGCGCCTGCGGCCAGGCCCAGCACAGCAGCCAGCACGACGGCCGACAGCGGCCAGGTCCCCACCTGGCGTGGGCAGTCCTGTCTCTGAGGCTCCAGCCCGCTGCCGCACACCAGCGAGGGCTTGCAGGTGCACGGAGGGCACTCGGGCTTCGCAGCCCAGATCGCCAGGCTCGTGGTGGCGGCGCGGACAGCTTCAGTCGTGAGCCACTCGCTGAAGCTCATCGAGCAACCTTCCTCAATGCACTTGAGCACATATGTCAGCGGAAAACCGAAGGATTTGAACTGACATATCGAACGTGCGGCACTCTCACACAGGGCTCTGCATCACGTTGTTAAAACTGTCCATATATATATATAGTGAGAGAGATACTCTGACATTCGAGCATTGTCCTTACTCTGGTCTGCGGGCTCAGGCTTTCCCTTCTTTGAGACCTTGCTAACGGATAGGCCGTTCACGACATGTTGCAAATTCGCTGCGGAACTCCGTGGAAGAAACGTGAGACTGAAGTGTGATACGTCTGCGTTAAAAGAGAAGCGCGCACACCATCTTCAGCTATGACGCAAACGGCGACCGATCCTCATAAATGCTGCCTTGAACCAGACGCGCGGACACGCGCGCGCAGGCTCGCGTAAAGGACAGGCAGGGGGAGCGACAGTAACGACTCCCCCAGCGGGTTCCTGATCCAACAAGCCTTTGCGCGCCAGTCTTCTGAGCGCCCCACCAGCGCGCGCCAACCCCAAACAAAATTTACAGCGCAAGCCGTCCGAGAACTACATATTCCGGTTGCAGAGGCGGGGGGCTGGGCTGCTCGACGAAGCCTTGCTCCCACCAGCCCTCTGGGCGTAGGTTGTTGAAAAAATTGCGCCTTCCCTCTGCCAAAGCTCCCTCCTTCTTCTGCTTTTGGGGGGGGAGTTCGCCCCTGTCCTTATCCCCTCCTTGGATCTGAAAGTGGCACCCCGCGACGGGTTCCAACGTCCGACGTGGCCCAAGATGGCCCCAAGAGGGCCGCTGATAGCGCAAACTGGTGTCCACGATGTTTCAACATACCTCAGGATGTTTCAACATAGGCTCCGACTAACATCTAAAAGGCTCCCTCCAAGGACCACCCCAAGAGGCCCATGTGACTCCAGCGTCTTAGGGCAACAATGTTGCGTGACATTCTCGCCATTTCGCCCCCGAAGGGCTCTCGAGGCCTCAAGATGGCTCCAACGCGGTCCAAGAAAACCCCAAGAAGGGCTCCAGAAAGCCCCGAGACAATCCCAAGAGTACCCAAAAACGCCCAAGGGGGGGGGGGCCCAAGACGCAATTGCTTTAGCCCCCCAGGGGGCGACCTGAATTTCCGACCCCCTTTTTTAGAATCACGGGGCCATGGCCCCAAAAGGCCTCCCAGACCCCCCCGCCGAACCCCAAAAAGCACCCAGAAGGCCCCAAAGGAGCCCCAAAAAGGACGCACTCGCGCCCCAAGAGGCTCCGCGAGGACCCCAAGAAAGCCTCCAAATGGATCCAAGAGACCGCAGAGAAATCGTTTTGCAAGCGACTGCTACAACGCGCTCTTCTACACTTCCCTGATCATGGCAACTCACCTGGAGATCTTTCCTGGACGAGATGGTGAGAAGCGCAAGAAGTCGAGGATTTATTCGACGAGCCCGCGGGGCACCCGAAGCTGTTCGCTCAACTGGCGCAGTCCTTTCTGTCAGCCCGCATTCGACCGCTCACTTGGGGCCCCCTGCGAACCGCCGCCCTGGTTCCAGCTATTCCACAGGCCGCTCTCGCCGCACTCCGTGTTCCAGTCGAGTCGCGACTGCCTTCGTCGCGGCCCTCCCTTGGGCGACCGCCAGACCAGCAACCAAAACTTGCGTTGTTACCAATTTCCTCCGAACCGCGATCTTGGCGACGGTCGGACAATCCGTTGTCGCCGATTCCCCAGTCGGCATCCCCATGCGCGCCGTCTTGCCGGAACTGTCGCCCGCCGTCATCGGCGACCGAGGCGGGGCCGCGGGCGACCGGGACAATGGGATCGAATGCCTTCTCCACTGTCGCTCGCTGCTGCGACGCCGGCAAAGCCGCCAATCGGCGATTGGCGGCTTTGCCGGCGCGATTATCGCAGCTGGCGCGATCACGACATCCGCTTCGCCAGAAATACGACTGCCAGAGGCTGCGCTGCGGCCTTTGGCCTGGGCGATTAGTTTCGCATCATCGCCCGCGCCGCCTTTTCTCCATGGGATTGGCCACCGCTGGCGGGCCAGCTATCACCGAAGCCAGCGCAGGCGATATTCCTGTTACGAATTGCCAGGATTGCGGGCGTAACCGTCAAATGGCCATGAGAGGCCGCGGCATTCCACACCTTCGAAATCGCCGCCAGAGATCTGCGCGCGTCTACGAGCGCTAACTGCTTTCCCAGGGTCCGGCGAGCAGCGCCCGACATTCCATGCCCGATACGATCTGACAGAAGTTCCTGCGCCATGGCCGCGCTGTCAAGGCCGAGCTATGAAATTGCCTCGTCGACAAACGTGCCCCCCCCCCCCCCATATCTCGCCAAGTCTACCCGGGGCGTGCCAATCGATGCGCGACCTTTCGGACTCGATGAGCACATCACTCAGCCATAGATGGAGAGAGCCAGTCTTTGTCGTCGGGCGCCCCCCCGCTCATTCTGCCTCCGAAGTGCGACCCCATGCGCCCGCGGAACACCGTCGTCGCGTTCCTCGCCATATGAGCACCCGCAAATATAAAGCTGAAGAGCAGCAGATGCAACGTGCTGTTTTGCGCCTTCAGAACCCTCTGCGGGGCCCCCGCTCACATCCATGTCGAACGGTTTCCCGCGATGCGTCTCGACGAGGACCTTCCCGGCAAGGCTCGGACATTATTTCCCGGCGCAGCCGATTGCCCTCGTCGGGGTGGATCCCGTCACGCCCCAGGTCGGCTCCGCACTGAGAAGGCCCATGTCCTGGTTCCTCCTGGCTTGATCAAACTCGAGGGCCCTTGAGCGTGGAGTCTCGAGCTTATCGGGTCCGACGTCGGTCCTGCTCGCGTGAACCGGTCTCAGAATCTCGCCCTTCTAAAGCTTGGTCTCGGTGGATTTCCCCTAGCGAGGCCACGGGCGTTGAGTTGATTGCCTTGTCATTCCTTTTCCGCGCCCGCCATTGCCGTGGCCATGCGCCATGCGAGACTCTGTTTCATATCTTCGGGAAGACTTATGGGTGCACGGGCGGAACGACGTGTTGGGATTGCCAATTCTGCTTGCGACTCTCAACCACTCGTCGCGACAATGGCAAAAGTCGGCGTCTGCCTCCCGGCCCGCGCCGCGACCCCGATTTACATCGGGCCATGATACGCGCGCACCTGGCCATGATCCTCGCGGGCGGCGACGCGCGCGGCAATAGCGCGCAAAACCGCGCGACCCTTCAACATCTGCCGCTTCCTCGGCAAAGCGCACCGAGCCGGTCGCTCAGAGACGGAGTGGGCGCGCTGACTCGGGGCCCTCTGAGATTCGATCGATTGTGCTTCAAATCCAGAACGCTCGCGAAGTCTAACTAGTCTGCCGAAGTCCCCGGAGCCCAGCCACATCTCGGCCTTGGCTTTCTTCGGGTTGAACGCGTCGAGAATCCATTCGGTGGCCCGCTGCCACTTGGGGGGGCACGAAGCGACGCGGCGCGCCGCCCCCTGCTCCGCTGGCTTCGGATTCACCTTCTCCGTCTTGCCCGCGCCGCGCCGCCCCCGCCGCCAGCGCCGCCGCCGGGCTTTTTGGGGCGAGGCGGAGCGTGGCTCGGGAGCGAGGTAGCAGGCGCGGCCCGCGCGCCCTCCGACCCCCCCCCCCCTTTCTCGAGCGACGCCCCGCCGCTTCCCAAGCCTTCTCCTGGCCCGCCTGGGCCAGAGCGCGGGTTCTGCTTTCTGGCATTCGCTTCGGCGCGACCCCCCATCATGCTTCGCATGGCCCCCCCGGGCAAATCCGAAGGCCTCCGGCGCTCGAGGCTCGGCCCTAACGGAGTCCTCGAACGCCTCTGACCGTCGAGGAACTGAGCCCTCTGCCTTCCGCGCGGCCGCGCGCTCGCAGGCGCTCGCAACGCAGTCGCGAGACGCCTCGGGCAGCGACGGACAATCGATAGGCGCTGCTCCAGGCGCGGCCTGGGAGGCGATCCTTTCTTCGATTATCTTCCTCGCTTTGCGTTCCTTGTCCTCTTCTCTCCCGCGTTTCTTCTCAGGTTCTCGTTCCCTCTCAGCTGCGGCGCCGGCGCGGGCGACCCGCCTTTTCTCTGCCGCATCGCAACGAACATCGCATCATGACATCGCGCACAACGCGCAGTCCTGATTCGCCTCTCTATTGCATAAGAGACACCGCAACCCGCGCATCCGGAGGGCTCGCGTCGCCAGCCCGGGCGCCTGCGCCCGCGGGGGGGCCGCGGGCGACCAGGGCAGCGGGGTCGAACGCCTTCTCCGCTGTCGCTCGCTGCCGCGACGCCGGCAGAACCGCCGGTCGCAGCCGGCGCCATCGCGACGCCCGTTTCGCCGGAAGCACCCCACTGCCAGAGGCTGCGCTGCGGCGTTTGGCCTGAGCGATTGCTGTCATATCATCGCCCGCCAATGCTTTTTCTCCATGCAAGGATGGGCCTCCGCTGGCGGGCCAGCTACCGACGAAGCCAGTGGAGGCGATATCCCTGTTTCGAATTGCCAGAATTGCGGGCGCGACCGTCCGTCAGGTGGCCGCGAGAGCCCGCGGCACCCCGCATCTTCGATATCGCCGCCAGGGATCTGCGCGCGTCTACGAGCTCCAACTCCCTTACCAGGGTCTGGTGAGCAATGCCAATGATTTCGTGCCCGATTCGATCCGACAGCAGCAGTTCCTGCGCCATGGCCACGCTGTCAAGGCCGAGCTATGAAATTGCCTCGTCGACAAACGTGCCCCCCCATGTCTCGCCAAGTCTACCCGGGGCGCGCCAATCGATGCGCGACCTTGCGGACTCGATGAGCACATCACTCAGCCATAGATGGAGAGAGCCAGTCTTTGTCGTCGGGCGCCCCCCCGCTCATTCTGCCTCCGAAGTGCGACCCCATGCGCCCGCGGAACACCGTCGTCGCGTTCCTCGCCATATGAGCACCCGCAAATATAAAGCTGAAAAGCAGCAGATGCAACGTGCTGTTTTGCGCCTTCAGAACCCTCTGCGGGGCCCCCACTCACATCCATGTCGAACGGTTTCCCGCGATGCGTCTCGACGAGGACCTTCCC